AGAACCAAGAGAGTAGGGAAGAAGCCCAAGAGGGTAGGGAAGTTAGCCAGGGCACTCCTGATAGGGAAGAGACCCAGGAGGGTAGAAAAGAAACCCAGGAGGGTAGGGAAGAAACACAAGACCTTCATAATAGGGAAGTAATGCAATACCCTCTTGCCGCTGAAAGGGAAGAAAGAGTGGAGCAGCCTGCTGATCTAGAAGAAATTCAGCAGCTATTAACTGATGAAGAAAAAGCTCAGCATCAGGAAGCTTTGGCACATAGATCTAGTGGGTTAAGGCTATTAACAATAGGGAAGAAAGGAGAAGGCAAGTCAACATTCATTCATGGGATAACTGGAGCTAAGGAAATAGGAGTAGATGGTCTTCAGAGCTCAGCTAAAAAGCCGCATATCATCCATGACAAAGATACCCATATGCATGGTTTAGATATAGAGCTACCTATCATGGTTTTTGATTCTCCTGGCTTGCAAGACAACCCAGAAATTGAAGTTTGCTTGCGAGAAATAAGGCAAATGTGTCAAAATCCAAGCTTAGTTCTTTACTGCACCAAAATGACAAACATACGTCTGAAAAATGATGATAAGAAAGTAATAGAAAAACTAACAAGTGCATTTGGAGCTGAGTTATGGAGGTTTGCTATTCTTGTCCTCACATTTGCAAACAAAGAAGATGTTACAAGGCGCAATGAAAAAGATGAAGATAAAGGGCCAGAGCCTGCTTTTGATGATGACAAAGCCTGGGATCAGTTAGGAAGAGAAAGATTTCAAAGTCGTGTGCAAAAATGGCACAAAGAGTTTCATCAATTTCTCATTAATGAGATTGGAGTAAGCACAGAGACAGTAGAAAAAATTCCGGTCACACCAGTTGGAGATTACCAAAAAACAAGAGAAAACAGGGAGCCACTCAGTCTTCCTGATCGGGATAATTGGCTAGCTGATTTCTGGAAGGTTTGCTCACAAGTGCGTCATGCTTGCCATTATAAGGTAACAAAGATATTTTTATGCATAATAATTGTTATAATCTTGATAGGATTTGATGTTAGAGGACAAAGTTTCTCAAAATGTAAGCTAAAGTTTCGTATGCATAGTTGTTATAATTGCATGCAGATATACTATGCATGCAAGTAATTTATATTCATAATTTTTCCCATCTCCTTAAAAATAGTGCTCCTTTAACTTTAAAAGCTAATCAATATCTACACAATGTAGATAAATCTGTATTGAATTTTTTATTTTATGTGCATATAGAATAATACTGCAAATGACGATGAGGCAGCTAACAAGGATGAGGTAACTAATTACGTTAATTGTGACAGTATACTTACAATTATTATTTTACAGACAACAGAAGAACAGTCTCATAATCCTACTCAGCAACCAGAGCAACATAAATTTTGCAACATTAGTTAAGTTTTTTATCGATTGCAAGAAATATTTCCAGATTTGTGTTACTTGTATTTTTATGTTAATGAATCTGGCAAATGCATTCTACATGGGTTATTACATGTCCCATTTGTGCAAAAGTAATTATATGATTGAGATTATAACTGTAATGACAGATTGAGTATAAATGCCTCTAGAGATTATATGCATCATTTTAATTATTTCCATAAGACTAAGATATTACTAACTAACTATATATTATTATATATTACTAACTATTATAGTATATATTATTGCATGTCACAT